AAACATTTCCTGTTTGAAATGGTTTATACGATTTTTTCAATTTGCATGGTTGTTACTTTGCAGGTGAGGTTTATGTGTTGGATGATGGTGGTGAAGTAGATTTGGATTTGGGGAACTATGAGAGGTTCCTTGATATTACTCTGCACAGAGACAACAACATCACCACTGGTAAAATTTATAAAATGGTCATTGACAGAGAAAGACATGGAGACTATTTGGGCAAAACTGTTCAAGGTTAGTTAGCAACAGAATTGTTTTCATCAATTTTTATTGATTGTTGTTCATTTTTAGTTGTACCACATATTACGGATGCAATCCAAGAATGGGTTGAGAGAGTCGCCAAAGTGCCAGTCAGTGAAACTGGTAAAACTCCAGAAGTTTGCATAATTGAACTTGGTGGTACCATTGGAGATATTGAAAGTATGGCTTTTGTTGAGGCTTTCAGGCAGTTTCAGTTCAGGGTGAAAAGGGAGAATTTCTGTACAGCTCATGTGTCTTTAGTACCACAAGTAAGTAAATCTAAATACAGGATATGAAATACAGTCATTAACCTCAGGAGTAGAATAATTGCACAATTAGTACGAATTTTTGTATATATATATTCATAAAATGTTTATTAGTACTTTAGAATATTATAAGAATATTTATATCTGATTTATATCATATTGATGTTATAAAATTTTGTTGTCCTATACAATTTTTATTATAATATAAGAGTATTAACTTTGTTATTTTTATTTTTCAGCCACGATCAACTGGAGAGCAGAAGACAAAACCTACACAGGCTTCGGTGCGAGAGCTGCGTGGTTTAGGATTGTCGCCCGATATTATAGTATGCCGTTCGGAGAAAGCTATTGATCAGAGCGTTCGTAACAAAATCTCAAATTTCTGTCACGTTGCACCTGAACAGGTGATATGCATTCCTGACCTTTCCTCGATCTACAAAGTACCTATATTGATGGAATCCCACGGCATCGTCGAGTACTTGAATGAACGCCTTCAGCTAGGCATCAGTCCCATGCCAACGGCGAGGAAATTCATGAAGCAGTGGGTCGATTTATCACAGAAAATAGAGAATCTTCGTAACGAAGTGGTGATAGCTATTGTCGGTAAATACACTCGTTTGGAAGATTCGTACACCTCCGTTACAAAAGCCGTGCAGCATGCAGCCAATGCTGCCGGATTTTCCGTGAAAATCAAATTCATCGAAGCCTCCAACTTGGAGGAGGAGATGAAACAGGAATGTCCTGCTTCCTACCACGAGGCTTGGCATGATTTGGTGAAGAGCGAGTAAGTTGATTGCTCAATAATTAGAGATATGTGTATTTGATTTTGCTCTATTTTTTTAGGGGTGTGATCGTTCCTGGCGGTTTCGGCAAACGCGGTGTTGAGGGTAAAATAGCTGCGGCAAATTGGTGTCGAGTGAACAGCAAACCGTATTTGGGAATCTGCCTGGGTTTCCAAACGGCCGTGATTGAATTCGCTCGCAATGTGCTCAAGCTGGAAGGCGCTAACACCGCGGAATGTGAAGAGGATTTGGAACATCCAATCATAATTGATATGCCGGAACATAACACCGGTCAAATGGGTGGTACTATGAGGCTTGGAAAGAGATCGACGATATTCAAGCCAAGCGCCAGCAGTAGTAAAATAAGTAAGTTGGAAACAGCATTAATTGTGATCATCGGTATTAATTGATTTTTTGCAGTGAGGCTTTACAACAACCGGGACATGATTGAGGAACGGCATAGACATAGGTACGAAGTGAATCCCAAGTACATCAAAGATTTAGACGCGGGAGGTTTGGAATTCGTTGGCGTCGACGTCGAGGGTACACGCATGGAGATCTTCGAATTAAAGAAGCATCCGTACTTCGTGGCCACCCAGTTCCATCCTGAGTACCTTTCCAGACCGATGACGCCATCTCCGCCCTTCATGGGCCTGATTTTGGCCGCCAAAGATAGGCTGCAACCCTATTTGATACGCGGCTGCAAGTTTTCCCCGCGCCAAGACTATGATTATGATGACAGCGGTGAGTGTTTGTTATCCAAAAAATGCTGACAATAAGCTTCTGAACTGACAATATTTTTCCTACCTAAGCTTTACACGATACACACCATAACCATCGGGACTTTGGTTTCTTTTTTATAATCACACGTATCCTATTCATCAGCACTTTATTTTATTTATATTTTATCGAAGAAAACATTTCAAAATCATAATTTAGATTATGACCATATTCGAAGCAATTCCTTTCTCATATAAGCATTTTTGTTTATAATCGTTATTATTTTCTCATAACGACTGTTTTGAAGCTTTCGAATGCTTTATGTTTATAATTATGATTTATTGAAAGTTTTATTTATCTTTTAATACGTTTATTTTTTATTTGATTTGAACTATTTTACATGTAGCTAATGTGGTTGGTACTTGTGCAGTAAACATTAACGAGACTGACCTGCTTTCAAACATTGTACCTGATAGTGTATCTCAAAGTAAGTTCCATACTTTATTTATACTATGTATTGCATACGCTTTGAAACATGTCCATTGTGCGGAGAATGCTCTTCCTTCTAAGACTCTCTCCGTTTATAAAAGACAAAAAGAAAACGAAGAGAAATGTATTAATGTATGTTTTTTATTTCTTCTGTAGAGGATGAAGCAATTGTGCAGCAATTGTCACTAACACAGGTGCAAGAATCAGACGGTAGTAGTGCTTACAGCAGTTCATCCAGTATGCTCTAATCCATTATTTTGGACCAAGATTAAGTTGTATTTTCTTAACACTTTGTTATTTTAACTAAATGCCCGACGTGCTCCTGACCCAAGAAAATAGCTCGCTACAGTTTTATGAAAAACAGGCCGTATATAACAAATCTGTCTTTAATAGCCAAGCAATTCTCAAATTTTTCGTTTTTTTTTATACGTATAGCGAAAAATAAGTGGGTAGTATATTTAGACTTAGGTAATATATCTATAATATTTTATTTTTTTTATTTTGTCGACCGGGGAAATATGTAAATATATTTTGTATATAATAATGTGTTATTTTTTGTATAATACAGTTGTTTAGAAGTTATATATCAAAAAATTACATTTAAATTTATTAATTATTTTCAATGAAATTAATTAAGTATGAAATAAAGGTTATTTATACAATGTGAAAACAATAATTAGCAAATCATATTTGATTTATTCGTGTACTCATCCTGAATCCTTCATGTCCTTGTGCGAAAAATATTACCACATATTAATAATTCTTTAATTTTTGCAGCTTTCAGAAGAATAGGATGAGAATAGATCTGTAAAATAGGTAGCGAAGGTGATACAGGTCTTAAACTGAGCTACTACTGTATGTTGTTATATAAGACTTGGCCAAATCTGAATAGTCCATGCCAATATCTTCATATTTGTAAATGAAGCTTATTCAACAAATTAATAACACGAAGAAGTAATATATATAGCAGTGCTTCTCAAGCAGGGTGAGAATTGGTTTACCGTTATATTTGACATATGAAATATATTAGAAGGGAAGTTACCCTCCACTTCCACCGCTTATTACATAAAAACATATTGGAAATCACTCCTACGCTCATTACATATTATGAGATGTGATGTGATGTGAAAAAGGTTGGGAAGCATTGACATAAAAGGTTGATAAATATGATGTCTCAAAAATAACATAAGAAGGCATATTTTAATTTTATATCTAATTGTGGTAGGTATTCAGTAAATTGTTATTATGTATTTGGTAAACACTTATATAACTCCGAAAATTTATTTGAAAGAGTATTTTTTTAACTCTATGAAGTGACAGAAATTCCTAAATTTGTAGACTAAAAAAAATAATATGCATGTTCAAAAGGTGGTACATTATGTGTTCCAGCGACCCTCAAAGAGTTAAAAAGTTTGAAATTGCGGACTTCGTTATATCGAAGCTTCGTTGTCAGGATGTTAACCGAGGTATGACTAATTTATACATTTTTGTAAATTTTGGCTTAGGTTAGATAATCTTCTGTCATTGCATACTAGTATTGTAAATTTTGACTATCTGCTTTAATTATTATTAACAGTTATTTGTAATTAATCAGTGTAATACTAATATTTTACCATTAATACGGGTTATTTGTATAAACTACTGTAGCACTATACGAAACTTCTTCAACATGAAGTTAGGAAATTTCCAATAAGGAGCCAAATTATTGAATTCTTGATTATTAAGAAATGATGTGTTTATTACATCGTTTAGGATTATTTAAACCAGTGATGCGCAAAATACGGCTCGCGGACCAGATGCGTCTCGCCGTAGATTTTAAAACAAATTTTTAGTGTTAAAAATATCGTTTTTCTTTTGTTTTTGGCACACTCTAGTTTATTTGGCTGTTATTTTAGTCTTCCTTAGTACTTTTGACTATAGTTTGTAATTACACTTTTAATCGCGAAAATTTCCATTTTTTTTTTCTTTTGATTTAGCCCAATTCTAAAAGAAGTTTTCCATTACTAATTGTCAACAATTTGCTTATAGAAAATAGACAGTAAGTCAAAAAGTTGAGATAAGTTTATTCAAATATCATCACATGAGACTTTCTAGTAGTTTTAGTTCGGATCATAATCCCGACAATTAAAATACCGACATTCGAAATCCCGACATTATCAAAATCTCGACAGAATAAAAACCCGACAGATTTTTTTCCGTATTTGATTAATTGACGTAAAGCAAATGAATTTAAAAAATGAGCATTATTACTTACTAGTTGAATAAAAAAAGAACATCGATATTCTATTGTTTAGAGCTAAATTAAAACTATCTAATTAATTAACGCATAAACACATCAAGATTTAAAACAATGAATATTAGTGAAATAATTCTGGATTTTCAGATGTCGGGATTTCGATATAAACCTTCTTTGACAGCATCGAAATGAATGTTGTTAATCTTGAGTATATTCTATATTTATATATTTTCTTTGTTGCTTCTCCAATTATATCTTTTCTCAATTATTAGCTTAATTATTAGAGTGGAGAAAATATTTATTTGCTAGAATATCAGAAGAATATTATAATACCAAATATAATGTTAAAGGTGAATAAAAAGTAAAGTAATTTCATAATTTTATTATTTAAGAAAAAAAAAACGTACAATAGTATTGTATAAAATTTAGTGTCTACAAAAAAAAACTAAATGTACAAGTTGATATTACGAACAATTAACGCTATTTGAGAAATAGAATTTATTAAATTAACATAACGGTCGCATCTGAACTTCGCAAAGTCAAGACAGAAAACTGAAGAAGACGCTTCTCACATTACCAAATAAAATGAACGAAAAAAAAATAAATGTACAATTCTCAGCTGCTGTAAGTAAGCAGATTTAGAAAATGTTTATTACATAAGCAGAAAAGAAAGAGATAATTTGTTGAAAATGGTAAACACGCTGTCCTTTATGAAAAAAAAAACGAGAGACAGGGAGAGACAGACACGCATAGCCATATGAAATTAAATTACAATATAATTACTAAATTTTATATTTACAAAAAAAACAAACAAATTAATCATATAATAATATTAGAAAGATAAATAAACGTCTAATGCCTTGACTGCTGCCAATAAACTCGTTTGAAGCGGAATGAACTGTATTTTCGTAGTATTATTATTAGTACAAAAAAAAAACGTTCAACATTTCGTAGTTAGATCAGTCATATATTTCGTGTTTCCTTCTTCTTCTCCTTCACATTTCATTTATTTTGAAATATACACGCACGTATATTTATTATCATTATTATTTTTTTAATTAGAAATTATAATATACATATAATTATTATACATAACTACTAATCACTAAATTTTGCGTTGCATATAAACTATCACGACTAGATTTATGAGTACAAAACGAAAAGAAATGAACAAAAAAAAAGTATTATTGTTTACTGTTATTTTTTTTGTATATATGTGTGTATATATATAGTATTTATATATTTAGTATTTATCCTTTATGTTTTTGGATTATTCCTTAAAAGTCATTCGTCTTAAAACAGAATCATAATAGATGTGAGAAAGAAAGAGAGGAAAGAGAGCGCGCGCTTGAGGGAGGGCGGTAGTTTATTTACACAAATATCATCGATACGTTCTTCCTATTTTAATATTTCATATACTGATTGATGGATTTGCTTAAGCAGAACGGTAATATTATGCAGAGAAGTTCGATGATGCCCAGACCGATTCCGGCGTATATCACGATCTTGATGTGCAGCATGACCAGTTCAGATCCAGCCTTGTAGCAACCCTGCACAAAGAAACACAATTAGTAATGGAATTAGAACAGTTTGGATGATGATGATGGAACTAACGGTTTCGAAGTAGGAGTTGGAGATGCTCGGGTTCTTCGTGCATCCGGGTGAGAGTGGCTTGAGGGTGGCCTTGTCCTGCAGGACGCAGCAGGACTCCGGGATTTCCTTGCCGCTGTCCTTCTTCCACGGGGTGACGTCGAAGTCCTTGTAGTTGTCTACGCCGCAGCAGTGCATCTCGGCTTGAAGGTGGTTCCAGACCACCGTCACGACGTTAGTCTTGTTGCCGGACTCGTAGTTCTTCGTGAGCATATCCTTGAGCAGTGACTTCGTGCCCATCTCGGCCTATGGAAAGAAGGAATTAGTTTATCCTTTAGTTGTCGTAATTGCGTTACACTTTTACCTTTTCTTTGTAGGCGACGGCCAACCCTCCGGCGGTTATTTGCAAAACGACAATAAGCACCATGCATATTCCATACTGGAACGGAAAATAAATTGTCGAATTACACGTATTTATAGATAAGAAAAAAATCAATGCAGAGAAATAATGTCTTGTACTAATTGATATACAAGAAATAATTGATCATTTTGGAATATTAATAGAAACAATAAAGTTCATTTATTTACTCAATGTAACTATTCAATAACATATTGAAATTATCAGAGTATATTATCTTATAGACATTGTTACTTCTTCTTTACAATCATTAGAAACTACTTAAATTATAGTAATTATTTCTGTCAAATTTGGCAATAAAAATTACTAAACTTGTAAGAACTGACATAGTCTAAATAGTTTCTTCAACATTACCTAAGATTTGCACAAATTGTTAATGAAATATAAATAGTCAACATTATCTATTCAGAATTACAAAAAACCATTTACTTATTTACTCATTTTTTTTTAATTAAATATCGATTCAAAATTATTAAAAACTGTTTCTTCAAAATTATCTGATTTGCACAAATAAACATTATCTATTCAGAATTACGAAAGACTTCAAACTATATAATTTGCTCATTTTATGAACATAAAGAACAATTTATAAACATAAATACTCAATAATAATACTTAATACTATATATTTTAACTATTCTGTACATAAATAATCATAACTATCACTTCTAAATTATTGAAAACTTGTAAAATTTGTCTGTTCAAAATTACTTAAGATTTGGATGATTTATTTCCTCATTTTATAAACATAAATATTCTAACTTTAACTTAAGATTTAAACGAATTATTAATCCACTTTATAAACTTAAATACTCAATAATACTAGCTCTTTTTTTTGTATATAATATCATAAGTATCATTTCAAAATTATTGAAAAATTGTCTCTTCAAAATAGTAAACATTATCTATTTGCAATTACGAAAAACTTTAATACTTAGCTAAATTAAATAATCATAATTATCAATTCAAATTTATTGAAAAAATTAAAAACAAAAAAATTGAATGATTTTCTTATTTTATTTCAAAGATCTTCCAGAATAATTTGCCTATAAAATTACTTCAAATTTGCAGGAATGATTAGATAATTTTTTGAACAAAAATTATCAATTCAAAATTATTGAAAACTTGCAAAAAGTAATAAATAAATAATCTAAATTGACCCATAAAAATTATCAAGAGTTGCACGAATTATTAGTTCATTTTATGGATATAAATAGACAAAATTATCTATTCAGAATTACAAATGACTTCAGCTTATTTATTGTACATACATAGTCACAATTATAAATACAAAATATTGAAAATTATTTTCTCATTTTATGAATGTAAATAGTCAAAATTGTTTGTTCAAAAATTTGCTTATTTTATGAACATACATATACAAAATAATCTCTTTAAAATGACCAAAAATATAAATTTTGGCCAGTTCAAAATGTTTGTAGAAAATGAACATTCAACAATGATTTACTCATTTTTTGAACACAAATAGTTCAAATTGTCAATTTAAAATTACCAACGTTTTTCACTAAAGATTTGAATGAAACAAAAACATAAAGGTAACAGAAAATAAAAGTATCCAACATTAATTATAATGTTATTTTCGTATTCCAACTTGATCAAAATGATGAAAATTCATATATTCAAACCATAAATCAATGGATGGAACATAACAAAAAAACTTAAAAATATTAGTTTTTCAACTAGTATAATAAGCAATTTACTAATTGTCTAATAGCTATTAATAAATGATTATCAACTCACTTAGTTAAGATATAAAAAAAAAATTACTTAATTTAAGAACAGAAATTAATTTGATTATAAATCACATATCTGACTAAAATTTTATTAATTTGATTGATTCAGTAGAAAATTGTTACCGTTTTGAGCAAACATCTGGATTCCCTCAAGGCACCGCAGTATCCCAGAAAGCTGAGGATGAACATGAAGAGTCCTGCTGCAATAAGCAGGTAGGAGGCCTGCTGGATGACGGCCGGTTTCGTGAATTCCTGAAAAGAAAACATTTTTATTAAAAAAAATTATTTATTAAACAAATAAACATCTGATTCTGCTGATCAATTTGAAGAGGATTCATAGGTAAACCTCCGAAAACCGGTTAACGGTAAATTGAGTAAGAATAAATGGGGTTTATTACATATTAGGTATTTAAATTCTACGCCCGTGTAAGGAAACCGTTATATAGCTTTGAGAAAGAAAAAGAGCCCAGTGACCTCGTTTAACACTTCTTATTGTTCGTCGTGTTAATGGCCACATCTTATTTACCTAAACCTGTAGCAAAGCGTTGTAAATTTACCATAACAGGTTATTCAAATTATTATATAATTAATAGAATTTTCGAGCGGAAATTCCGGGGTTTATAAAACGGGAAAAATAAAGTATATACGAATATCGGAAGAAACGTGAATAATGCAACATTAAACAGATGTTACGAACTATGTGCTTCGTGTTGCTTTATTAATAGTTAATCAAGTTATTCCCCCAGTTTGTTTCGAATTAATTAGAACTTATTAACAACTTCATTTCAATAATAGATAGGTTAATTAAGTTTGCATAAAACCAGAAACAAACTACGGTAGAATAGTATAACTTTCCTTACATTTTTTAACTTATGAACTATGTTTACTAGCTATGAAGTAGTTTTTAAGTAATTATGCTTTGACGAAATACGTCATTCTCTTCTCATCTAATGAATACTAAAATATAACTAACTTTAGTTAGTTTAACAAACAAATAATTAATTTAGAAAGATTTAGATAGAACAATTAGTAATTTATTAATACAAATTACTATTAGCAACCAACTGCAAACTAATGTATTGATCATATTACAAACAATGAGATAATTAAAATTAAATAGACTATTGCCCTTTAAATTGAATCTAATGAGAAACTGGTTGGATTCATTCATAGATTTTTAACATAAATATGCAATATAATACAAATTGATAGGAGAAATTGAAATATTACGGATTCTGATGTTATTTCTTACACAGCAAATATAAATTTATTACATAAACCGAATTTGAAGCTGGAGCCGAAGTGTTGCGAATAAATTCCAATCAGAGAGGGATGTCACACAAATGTAGCTTTGCGCACTAAATCAATTTTCCATATGCGTACATACATCATTCTTGTCACCAAATTTGTTGGTTCTACATTTTCATTTACTTCTGCAAGCTATGACTCGATATATTTCAACGTGTTGTTTTCTTAAAAAATCTTAAAATTATTGAAAAATGTAGATTCTCAAAAAAATATTTCCTCTGAAACTATATTTTTCATTGCTGATTTAACGTATTCAAAGAGAATTGTGAAACAAACATTTTTAAGATATCATAATTTAACTAAATAATATATATACCGCACTGTTTGAAACCGGACTGATCGAGAATTTCCAAACAGCACATAAAGAGAGAATAACGATCATTTATATATAAAAAATATTCTGTGTACTATATTTTTTTGAGAATTTGCTTTCATTTTGCTCAATCAAAATTTAGTGAATCCGCTCATTTCGAAGCCGGACTATATGAGGTATTGCTGTAATATACATGAAATATATTTAAAACATTAAATATAGTTGCAATTTAAAGATATTTCAATAACGTATTTCTTAACCTTATTAAAAATGTTACCTATAAAAAATATAGAAATAATTATTTTTTTGAAAGAGAATTTATTGTAGTTTGTAAATTAATTATTTTTTAAGTTCAATAGTTTGTAAAAATAACCATGGTAACTTAATCAAATATAACCTAATTTTATATAACCTAAACTAAGTTAAATTAATTTATATTATATAAGTCAAGATTTGATACGTTTCTGAATAACTATATAACTTTATGGGACAAATTTCCTGGGAATTGAAAAATGGCAGTAAAAAATATCTAAAATATGTAGAGACATTCCTAAAGATACAAAATTGCGTTAAAACAGCATTAAATAAATAATTAAGTAATGTTCCATTTTAAAGTAGCAGTGAAAGTTCTAAGTCGCAAAGACTTTGACAGCTAATGATCTAGAAAGAGATATGTATAATGCACTATTAGATAGACTTAGACTTGGAGTGATAAACGAATTATGTTTTTATTGAAATATCTACATAATCCAGAAACTTATATTTTTTCTGACTTTAAATTTTAACTTTCTTTAAATTTTAAATATCTCGAGTCCCGGGAATTCCCGGGAATGCAGTTGTCTCTTGTCCCGGGCATGAAAAAACATATCGAGACTGAGCACCCCACTTATACACTATACACAACTATATAATAATAAGATGATTCTTACTATTTAGTTAATGTTATTATTTTTTTAAATAAGTTAAGTGAAGATATAATACTAGTAAAATAAGTGGTGTCATCTGGTATCGTTGCAGTCGTTAATGCAGTCATTAATATATCGAAGCAAATAAATTCCAGTGATGATCTCATTGCAATTCCCCATTTTATGTGCGTTTGGCCTAAAAAAATAATTTCGCAAGGACTATTTGCGTCTCGAATACAATTGTTCTAGTTAAGATATAAGAGTCATAGTTTAATATTTCATTCACAAACAGATTGCATCATGTTTCAATAACGATACTGTTCACTACATTTGTTTAACACTCTCCAACTTTAAAAACGGGAGATGGAAGCAGGAAGAAAATAAAGCAGCTAATTTCAGATTACGGCTAATTGCGTTCACGTTTCGGACCGCGATACCCTTGATCGCCCCGTGCTCTTTCTCGTACGTGCTATTAACAACTGCCGAAGCGCCAATTAACCCCGAGAGTTCAAATTACGTAACGCGAAGCTGCAATTCGCATTGTTTGGGTCTGGCCACTTGTCCACTTGATCGTCGCAACTTCAACTTTTTATTCTCTCACGGAAACGTGTCATCTGACACGGTGCAACACTCATCTCTGGCATATTTACGTGACACAGCGCACTTAGAGCTTAATGAACGCTCAACTAATTTTCAAAATGTTCACTCCATATTTCGTTAGAAGAAGCAATGTAAACATTAGAGTGTACATCTGTAATGTAATGTGTGAGAACGAAATCTTTACAAAGTACTATATTCTCGTTTAATTTTATTTTGACAGTTCATATTTGACACACACCTGTCAAATATAAAGTGTCAAGTGTCGACGTGGCAATTACATAGAATTTAAGATGAAATTTCTGCACTAGTAATTGAAATAACAGAAGTTTATTGTTTAGTTTGTGATGTTCCATAAATTGTTTAATGTTCAAGGAAAGTTAACAACTTGGGTCTACCGATATTTTCGATTTATTTAATTTTTTTAATCATATTTTTTAAAATATGTTTTTTTTTAATAAATCCTACTCAATACTAGACGAAAGTGTATATACAAAACATGTTATTAAATGTAGAAACATGTATATTGAGGATAGAATCTGATGTAATTATAGCGTGGAAAATCTAGCGAGCAATGAATACATGCAGCATATTCGCTTTCTCCTCTCCTTGTTTGAAGTTGAGGTTGCGACGTCGAAAAATAAAAAAAGGGAGCAAAAAATGAGGCACCACCACCACCCACGCTAACGAAGTGCTGATGAATAGTCCCAGACGAGGGCGTGAAGAGGATTTCCTCGACGGCTGCGAACGCAATTCCGTCCTGTTCTTTAGACGCGCTTTAGCTTTCACCTTCTTTTTCCTTTTTCTTTCATGCCCTTATCTAAAGTCCCATAGACATCGACACGGAACGTTGATATTATGAGGGCAACGTTTTTTTTTTTATTAAAAACAAATTTCTGGACGACGACCGCAACAGCGCGACTGGGGAATGCAGAATTCGCAATTCCCATCTGCCTTTTCATCAATGTTACCTTTTACAGAGAGAGTTTCACAACTCGAGTGTCTGCAAATCCGAATTATCAGGCCACGACAAGAAAAAAAAAGAAGAAAGAAACAGTAGCCGACGTGGATGTATGCATATTGCTTCACATAATCATCCCAAATTGAGAGGTATTGCTGCTTACTTATGTAATATAATTGTAAAAATATTGAAATCACCGCAGATTACGCAAATTACAGACAAATAGCTATGATGAAAAAAAAACTTTAGGATTTCAAGTTACTATCCAAATTTATTTTCATGTAGACAATTTTTCTTTTTGAAACTATAATAGCGCCATATATTAATTTAATCACAGATGGCGCGCAATTTACAAATTGATATTTAAAATATTTATTTATTTAAAGCATACTTTGCCAGTGTCAAAATATTGTTTAGATGCAAATTAATTTAATACCAAAAGAAACTAAACTCATTATATATAAAAATTCAATTATTTATATTTTTGTTATTCTATTATAAGTTCATTAAAGTTTTGAATTTATAGTGTTTTTAGCAAGATTTTGTGAAATTTGACAAAATATAATTTGTATCTTCTCAATTTATTTTAATCAAATTCTAAAAAACATGTATTCATAAATTTCGGTGTAATTTTAAGACATTCACTAGTAAAATAGTATACTTTTTGACTCTCGTACTTATTTATTTTAAGCATACTTTTACTAAATATAATGTGAAAACGTATACGTTTAATGTACAAAGTTTGAATTTAATTACTTGGAAAATGATCAAATATGAGTAAAGTAAGTTAAGTTTAATTTTAATTACTTTGGAAAAAATATATTTTGATAGATAAACGTATTTGAAAGAAATTTATGGAAACATAATTAAATTTAAAATTATTATTAAAATAAAAAAAAATAATAAAAAAAAACTACAAATAATTTACATGAGAAAGTCGGAGAAGCAAAGCAGAAACTATCTAGTTTATAATAAAATCAATTAATATATAGTAATAAAAGCAATAAATTGATATGTGCTTTGGTTAGAAATTATATAATTTTTAATATGATGTAAATTGTTTTTGTAATTACTTCATAAGTTTTCTCTTATTTACCATTCATTTTAATAATCTTTTTTCTCTATTAATTTAATAAAGATTGTAAAATAATCTGCGTTTTAATTGCAG